TCTAAAGCCATAGAGAAAATCTCATACGTCAGTGTATCTTCTCCTAGGACTTTGCCTAAAGTAACTTCACCTGTGATGCTGTTTATTTCTGTCTCACTGACATGTGGCCACACAAGGCATGCCTCTGAGCTAGCTTATGTGGTGTTTCACACCTCCTTGTTAAACCTTCTTCAGAACTACATTTGTACATATATCCAAAGTACAGGGTCCACTTTGCCACTGAAATTTGGCCCTCTGCCACTGGCTTGGCTTGTCTGAGACCTGGTGTTACAAGATCCTCATATTATTTTTCATTTCCATCTTCCCAAAACTTGGTTGTGTAGTTCTCCTTTTTTTCCCTTTTAAGAACTCCTTATATGTATGCCATTGATTAAGAACCTTCTTATTTGATCATCAGATTTATCTGTTGAAACCTATTGTGTGATAATGCAATAAAAGCAACATTTTTCATAATGCAAAGATAGTTTAAATGTTTAAAAATTGTTGACAACTAAAGTAGTATATACCACAGAATAGATCTGTTAAAACACCAGGCATCAAACCATTAGACATCTTTAAATGTCTCAGCCTAAAAAGCTGCCTTACAGATTATTCCATAGCCAAGGGGCCACCAGCTAGAAGGCCCTTTCCTTGTTGCTGCCCTTCAGGTCTCCCCGAGCTTGTACCTGGAGGAAGACCTCTGACACTGATCATAGTATGCAGGTGGATTGCAGTTGGGAGAGGTGTTCCACCAGCCCTTATAGCCCTAGGCTGTGTGGGGCTTTATAGGTTGAAACCAGGAAGCACACAGGTAGCCAGTGCAGGTTGCCTAGAATTAATATTATGTATTCAGAGCTTATGGTCCCAATCTGACTGATGCATTTTGCTCCAGGTGCCAGCTTCTGAACATTCTTCAAGGGCAGCTCCATCTCTACTAATTTAGAGGTTCACTTGTTTGAAGTAATCTAATTTAGAGATTACCAGTGTAGTTTGCTGCAACCAGGCTATCCCTGCCCAGGTTTGGTGTGAGCAGGGATGGGGGGGCGGGGGGGGGGGTAGTAGAAACTGGTAGAAGGCAGTGGGGCCATTTAAGCCTCAAGAGATGTGGTGGATCAAAGAGAACCTGTTCTTTTAAGAGAGTAGGCTGAACATCTTCTATCTGGTCAGAAAAACCACCCACTAACAGTGTCTGAGTCTTTTCTCAGCTGAGCTTCAGTTTGTTAGCCCTCATCCATTCCATTGTTACCAAGCACCAATTCAGCACATTCACACCCTCACATGGAGATGAAAAGGGAAAGTAGAGCTGCATGTCATGTGTGTACTGATAACAATGCACTCCAAACCTCTGGATGACTCCATTCAGTGGCTTCATGTAGATGTTACATTAAACCAGGCCATCCCTCCAGAGTCTTGTTCCCAGCATAGATCATCATGCAGGACAAAGTTTTTTTCAGTGCCCAGACCTGGCTCAAAATAGATCCAGGCAATGAGTCTCATCCAAGAGTGCTTGGAGCTGGTTGGTCACCACCTATCTGAGAACCTTGCTCAGAAAAGGAACAATCGCTACCTATCTAAAGTTAGCAAGAACTTCCAGATCCAGAATGAGTTTCTTCAGGAGTTGTCTCACTGCTGCCTTTTTCAGGTGCCATGGGATTATTCCTTCTCCCAGGGAGACACTGATTACCTCCCTGGGCCAGCTGGTTGTTCCTTCCCTGCTGACTTTTATAAGGAGGTGATTGCACAGACCTTTCAACATTCTCCAGCTGTACAACTGAAATTAATCCAATACAACAACTAGGTGTTGGTCTGGGTACTTCCCTTGCTTCAACTGTTAAATCCCTCAAGTCTACATCTCAGCAAATGCAAGAGATTTTGTCACAGAAATGCCCAGCAAATACATTACAGTGGGCCTCAGATGGGTCTATGATGCCCTGCTTGTGGGCATATAGTAGCATCTAGTTGCATCTACCGGGAGTTTTTCTCCATCTGCACTCTCCTGCTTTTCATCTCTCTTGGCTCTGGGGTGTACCACAGAGCTGTACTACAGAGAGGAGTGAATATTTCAGCGGGCTGGACCATCTCTGTATGCCACAATCTGGCCAGGGCTTCTTCAGGAGCAGCAGCCATACCAGTCAAAAAATCCCCCAGAGCTCTCTGGAAACAATCTGGCTCCATTAACCCCTGTGGGCAGATCATATTAATAGGTCCTCCACCCTAGCAAAGGAGAAGAGCCATTGTCAGTCTAAAGCTCAGGTGGTTATCTCAACATGCCAAAATCACTAAATCAAAGTCCTTCACTTTCAGAGCTTCTTCCTCATGTCTAGCAGAGAAAACTAAGACTATTGTGAGCCCTGCTAGGTGTATCGGGCCAGTGACAGGATGGAAAAGCCCAGTGGTTATCCAGGAGGTCATGAAAGCCCGAGCTGCCTTAGACAGGGCACTCTCAGCATGAATATTGACACCTGGGGGACCTCAGCATCATATCTAAGACCACCTCTGTCAGCCCAGGTAAGGAATCTGATGGTTTGCACTCCAAACTGTGCAGGTGTCCTAACCCAAGGTGCAAACACCCCAGACTAGTAGTTGGGCACCTAGAGAGAGGGACAGCAACATAGCAACATCCATTCCAAGGCCCCAAGTCTACTGACTCTGTGAGGCACCCTGGTGGGTACAGCTGGGAAAGACAACCTCCTTTTTGTTCACTGACGCGGGACTCTGTTATACATACCAGTTCAGCCACCTCATCTATTCAGTTGTGGAGAAGGGAGGTCATCTTCTGCACTGATCTGGCTTTTAAAAGCAGCATCTTGGAGATGCAAGGGCAAGCTGGGAGGGCAACCACCAAACCTGTAGACACGAGGAGGCTGGAATGCTTTCCCGGAGACTGTTCTGGCGGCATTCTCCGCACCTGGCTAGTCCTCCTCCCAGGACCATTATCTTCCTCTGCCATCACACTGATTCCCCACCCCCCACAAGATACCCCAGTTGGCCCTCATATCCTCCCTCCTCAGTGCATGCTGAGGTTCTATGGACAGGCAACTGCCTCCCCACAGGATTCTGAAAGAGCAGAAAACCCACCAGACTGGCAAGGATGTCTGGGGGTAGCCCTTATCCAAAGGGCTCTTGCCAGCTCACTTGGGCCAGCAGACAAAAGGCCTACTGAGAGTCCAAGCCAGGTGGTAGGGGCCGCAATTAGCCTAGCCTCAGGGGAGTTTCCCTCCTTTTGATGGACACAGGAGCTTCTTCCAGGAGAAGAGCCCAATCCAGCCAGCAACAGCACCAGCCAGGGCAAGGAGGGAGGCAGGCGGTCAGCTAGCATTTTCATCTCCCGCAGAAGTGTCTCAACCTGCCTGTTGGTTGCTTCAGGCCTCTTGCCAGTCTCCCAAACTTGTTAACTGTAACTTTACAGGTAGCTTCCCCCTAGAATTACAGCTCAGACCTTCAAGCTCAAAGTTATCAATGGCATTTAAGTAATGAATGAAGAGTAACCTCCCTTGGTTTGCTCCATTCATGGATGAAGGACACCTGTTCACTAAGCAGTGCAAAACTGGTCTCAAGATCTAGTGTGAGAAATTGGCTTCTAAAGCAGCAGATACTCTGGCTGCACTGAACTGTTCAGCATACCTGCACAGATACTTCCCCCTTACCTGGCCGGGTGGGAGTCCATCTAGCCCAAGTGTGTAGCCTCCATTCAGCACAAGCCCCGAATTCCACTTGGGAGAAGCTCTCCTGGGTGGAGGGTGGGGCTAAAAGAAAAATGGGAGGACCTAAAATGCCTTAAATATCAGCCCACTGTAGTTTAAAGCTCTGACAGTCCTTATACCAGCTTTTTTAGAATGGACGAAAAGCTGCAACAAGGCCAGGAAGTCACAACACATTCAGCAGAGGAAGTGGCTGGTGTTGTCTGGGGTACCCCAAATGACCAGATTTGGACCTTAGGCAGGCATGATTTGGTTAATGAGCCTGAGGTTCATCACCCCTGTTCTACCCAGTCTTTTGTTTCCAACAACAGAAGGCAAGCCTTCTCCGAGATGTTCACAAAGGGCATGGAGGCAACTGGTACCCATTTGCCTCAGTTTCTGGAACTCAAGCAGACGGCTTCTAAACATGCAAGTTAAACTTAGTTCTCATACTCTTTGTTTCTGATAGACGTATTTCTCCATGGATTTTTGTAGTCCTTTTAAATTCATAAGAAAGGAAACCTGTGACCTTCCAGATATTATTGGATAAGAACTCCCATCAACTCCAGCTATAATGGCCAATAGCTGAGGATGATAGAAGCTGGTGGAGGGCTGCAGGTTTCCTTCTGGTTTGAAAAGACCAGTAGCCATCATGCAAAGGTAAATTCTGCAAGTTAATTTGCAGTGGATGAAGTACTTGTCTATCTTAACTGGTTTCACCAGATAACAAGAGTTCCACTATTTAGGGCAGACTTCCTAATCTAGTACCCTCAAGATGTGCTTGATTATAACCCTCATCATCCCCAACTAGCATAGTTCCCCATCCCCAGTTTAGCCGCTCCCCACCCCCCTGCACACTGGAATGACTCTCCAACCTCTTTGTAATTTCGGTAACTTTTCCAGCTGTACCATACCATGTTTGGGGTGACAATAGATATCACTGCAAAGACAGCCACACCACATACCTGGTTTCATTGTCAATCTTTTCCTGAATCATTCCTAACACAGACTTTGCAAATTCTTGCTGAAAGCACATGAGATCGTGTTCAGAAAATTTCCAGCTCTTACCCATAAATCTTTTTTTTTTTTTGGCCAATCACAAGCAAATGTAGACCCTATCAATGTATCAGTATCTTAGAACACATCAAATATTCAGACAGGAGAAGCAGTTGAACCAGTGGCTGTGTGGGTGAGCGAAACTGCTAATTCCATCACCTGTCTAATTGCAGTTTTGAAAAAGTTGGATTGATCAAAGGACCTATCTTGCTTTGAATTCCTTATCGCCCACTAGCAATACAGCAACAACTGCTTGTGCTTTATGGTACAGAAAAAGGCAGAGACTGTTCTTATGGGTTTGTATTTTTTTAAAGATTATTTTACAGTTTGAATCACACGAGAAGGCACTTTTGATCTGTGATTTCCTTACTCTCTTGTTCATTGTTAAAAGATCAATTTGTGGTGAACAGTACATATTGAGAGCCTGAATATTGGGGAGTATCTCCTTCTCCGTACACAGCTGCATGGGGGAACTGAAGCATTAAGGACTAGTAACTTTTATAAAGAGGCTTTCAGGGGAAGAACCTGGTGATCCCCTCTAGTGCTACCTCAGAAAACACAAGAGGACAGTTTGAGCAAGGAGTCTTGGTTGCACTGACTAGTTTGGAAATCTTCCAAGTTCTTTCAAATTGGCACTGAGAGGGCATCAGCTTTTACTTTCCCAATAAAGTGCTGAGATTTCTCAATACTGTATTAGAAAATTCCTGTTTGGATGCTGGCATTGATCCTTTATTTCTCCTCTCCCATTAAAAATAAAAAAGTGGAATAAGGCAACTTGAGGGAGAAAAGAAGGGGGACAAACGCCCTTGGAGGAAAAATGCTTTTGGAGGCTTGCTTGCAACTGTTCAGCAAGTATCACTCTGGGGTAGAAAGGCAGTCTCCACTGCTCCCACTTCCACCCCCTGGAACAAAAGGGGGTAGTGGAAGGAAGCAAGGACAGAAGCAGAGAAAGTTTGCAATGAGAAAGGAAGGCGATAAGGGAAATTTCTTCCTAGGGGTAGCAGCTTTAGGCATTCCTTCTACTATGCAGATGGGGGAAACAAATTAGAGATGGAGACAAGAGCTTGGAGGAGCTTAACCCTTCGCAGAGGCAGCTATTAACACCAAGAGTGTGGAACATGGCAGGGGAGGGGAAGACCACCTTCCTTCCTCTGTTCCAGCGGATGTGTTGCAGAAGGGGGCAAGGGGGGGGGGGCAGCAAGCATTCGGAGAAACGGAGAACTCTCTGAGAAAAGATGTCAACTCATGGGCAAAAACCACTTCCCACCACACTTCCTTTTATACCAGAAAGAACGACAACCCACCAACCACACAAAAATAATTACCCTCTCCCAAGAACACTGTTAAAAAAGACAACTATAAAAATCTTCAGATGGCTTCCCCTCCCTCCCTCCCTCCCTCCCTGTTTTCCCTCACACACACACGCATTATACATATTTATAGCATCTAGAATGTGCCCAGCTAGAATTCCTTCTGCATCCTGTAAAAAAATAAAACCTCCCTGAGTGGAGCTATGGCATGCGGCCACTCCCATTGGGAGGGACCTCAGAAAGGGGGGAATCTGGCCAGCAGGGGCTGATGGATCAGCAGTGGCTCACAGGTCACCCAGGAAGCAATCAGTACTGCCAGAATGGGGGACTCCTGAACCGCCTGGGCACAGGACCCACAGTTTCTTTTGAGAGCGCCATATAAAGGATGGTGGCAGTGGGAGGATCAGGTACGATGTACTTCCCATGGTACAAACTGAGCAAAACTTAGCTACTTCAGTGGAGAAGACTGGGTAGATAGACATTGGTGCTTACGCTGTCTTGAAAAGATGTTTGATCAGGGGAGGGCAGGAGAGAAATCATGCATTCAGTGCAGCTTACTGCAGCACAGGATTGCAGCTTTAATTCCCCACTCACAAGAAAGGTAAATGTGTTAAGTCAATCTTGTAGGGGTCACAAGGCTCTTCATTGAAATAGCCGGAATTAAAAGGTATTGTGGAGTGACCAGGGATATATTTCTGTTCTGTGTCCTTTTTTTATGCTTTTACCCTTAATTCAGCTTTATTTCTACATTCATCTGAAAATTTAAAAGCAAAAATTGCATTAAGATACATATTAAGTGTGCATTTTGTTACTTTTAAACTCATGAGAGCTGTGTGACATTTGGAGATCTGAAAAGACCAGTGGATACCTAAGCTTTGATTTATGTATTAGTTCAAGATCAGCCAATTTCATATGCAAATATGCAAAATTGCTCAAGCTTGTTTAGGAGTGACTGTGGATTTATGGAGTTTCCATGTAGTGTTAGCGATAAATACCAAAGATGTGCAAACAGCAGGGGTGCAGGAAAGAGGTGAGACTAATTAAACAAAAATAAAAACAATGTCTTTCCTTTCTTTCAGCCTTTCTTCTCTGAATTTGGGAGATTTGACATTTGAATGGGGAGGGATTCAGCAGGGGGGTGTTAGGGCAATGCTGTTTTTATTTTTCCATCAAACAACAAAATCTTTAAAAACACAGTAATATTTCAGATTTTTTAAAAAAGGATTGTTTTCATCCACTGCATGAGTTATCTGCAGTTCTCATCACTGCAGGATAACACCAGCTTTGCTGAATTTTAAAAACCAAGACATTATACATTCCTGAAGGATAGATCCAGCAGTAGCTGTGGACAGCTTGTTGCCCACAGATTTTTTTTTGGCCCACAACTCCCATCATCCCTCACCATTAGATTCGCTGGTTAGAGCTGATAGGAGGTATGGGCCAAAACCTCTGGAGGACCACAGGTTGTCCACCCCTGCATCAGGGAACACAACCCCATGCTCAAAAGTTTTCTAAGCATCCTGCATCATTCCCAACAAGAGACAGAGTGTTGTGCTCACTGGATCTTCCATGGTCAGGTCCAGTATGGTAGCAAAGAGGTACATAAACTATTCTCGATTCATTACAACAGTAATTTAGTAAGATGTAATTGTAATAACATACTGGATAGCAAAGAGCACCACAATTACTCCCTGGTAGCAAGGTTCCACGTGGTCCTTTGCTCTGTGTGGTATTAGCAGGCCAGTAAATGAGCCACCACTGAGAGCCATGGCCTGTCCCATCCCTAAGCAACTCCACCCTGAAATGGGCTAAGGCTCTAAAGACCTGCAACATCAGGTCCTTTCTTGTATGGACAGCCAAGGACAAGAGTAAAAGGCACAAGGCTTCCTTGTATCCAATCCCCCCTCCCAAAGAACCCCCCCAAATATTTTAAGGCAAATTCAAGATGGCACTGGAGAAAAACCCAAGGCAAATCCATATCTTGTAGAAAGTGGTTAGGGCAGAGGACCAAGATGATTTCACTCTGGCTCAAGCTTCACTCCTGGTCAAATCAGCTTTCAAAAGATGCTGGGGTGGGAAGAAACATGGTTAATGGGATGGAAGGTCTCCTGAGCAAAAAGCACTTTTGGGAACTGAGCACAGCTGGGTCGTTATCAAAGCCGTGGAAATAGGCTCCATCCACCAGCACTATCTCACAGTCTTTTCTCGCTTCCATTGGTCCCTGCAGGTCCATCACTTCTAAAAGGCACATTTTTTTCCACAAGTCCAGGAAGGATATAGAATTTCAACTATAGCCCCGAGGCTCTGGATCCAATCCAGGAAAGGAGATGGTGGGATCTGAAGGCACTACAGCATAAACAGAGAAAAAACCCACGGCGACAAAGGAAGAGCATCCGGCCTCCCCCTTCTTTCCCTGCCCATCCTCTTTTCACAAGATTTCTGGCCACACTCACAGGGAGGGCAGAGCTAGGACAGAGCTGGAGGGCCAGCCATGGAGAAGCCAAAGGCTGGAGTAGGCAAAGCTCAGGGCTGTTGTGGAACACAGAGAAGCTACGGGGAGGGCAATTTGAGTGTGTCATACTTGGGTTCTGCAGGACCGTATCACCAGCTTCAGTCTTTTAAAAACTGGAACAAACGTGGCTGTTCTAGAGATGATATTGTCCCTCTTTAGTACCGATCGACCAGCTGTGTGAACTTTCCTCTTGGCCACTTCAAGACTGATGCGAACCTCGCTCAAGAACTCGAGAAGCCCCATCTGAGTATCACCCTTAGATGGGTGTCATATCAGGAACGGTTTGTCCCTGCTCCAACCAATCTTGACACCAGTTTGGGTCTGTGCCTCCAGTTAGGAGAAGGGCCGGAATCGAGTTGTGGGGGGGATGTGTGACTGTCCTACCGACGATGACCTCGCTGCTCAGGGCCCCACTGGGTAGGACTAGCAGAGCTCGTGTTTATCTCAAATCTCGGTGAGGAGGAACATCCTCTCCTTCCTGAGGTGAAACATCTCCTGCCACCCTTTTGTCTTGCCACCCATTCAGACAGATAACTGAGTAAAACCAGGGATTCCCTGTCTGTCTCCTTTCCAAATTAGGAGAAGTTGTGAGACAATTTTCCCCACGAAGGGGAAAATTTCAACGAAGAACGAGAAATATATCCAACCCAGGATCTATCCCAAGAGAGATAACTTCCAAGGAAGCTCTCCAATTTAGGAAAGCCGCAGCCCTCAAATGTCAGGAGCAGACCACTCAATTCCTTTTACAGATGCAGCTACGTCCTTCTAAAAGTTTTGTCCCCTTTTGGTATCATTCCAGATACTTTCAACGCCAATTCTCCCCACCCACCCCATCCCCACTTGAGTTCTGACCATTAGGCCTTTTAGGCCTCTTTCTCCAGTTTCTCTTTGCTACGTTCTGCTCGGATTCTCCCAGTCGGCCGGTGATACAGGAGGGGCGGCAGCACCACTCCTGATCCCTACCCAGGAAATCTAGGGCAGCGTTGGTGAAGAAGCTGGGAGCGAACACAGGGCAGTGACAAGATGAACTGGGCACCTGGGACTGGTCCTTGTGGGGCAGCCCAACCTGGTGATGAGGGAATAAGGCAGGGTTCTGGTTTCCCCCTTGGTTAGAGTGGAAAGGACCACTGTTTTGGTCCCACAGTGTGAGGGGGCGGGGGGGCAGAAAGGCTGAGGCCCCATCTCCACAGCCCGTGAAGCAAGGGGAACAAACCATTTAAACACGTCGCGGAGATTTCCCCTGTAGGGTTCAAGGTCACGTCCAGGCACCAGGTTCTGTCCTGGCGCCCCATGGGAACAAGTGCTCTCTGCTGCCCCGTGCAGGACGTTCTGTGCTCTGCACTGCTCGGTGAGGCTGCCAGGGGCTAGGCTGAGGGGAGCAGCAGGCCGTCCTGCTCGACAGGAGGACGCGGCCGAGGTGGGCATACACCCCTCCTTCCCCTGCCCAAAGCCCCTGCGGTCACTAGCTGCTAGTCCGGTGCTGCTTTAGCACTGTATAGACGTCGTCCACTTTGCTGAGTCTTTCAAAGAAGGGCAAGAGGTCAAGAAGCTCCGTGTCAGCCATGTTGTCAAACCACGAAGCCACAGGCACCTGGCGGGGGCGAGAGGGAGGGAGGGAGGGAGCATTTAGGGAAGCACTTCACCACTGACATCAGCCTGAGCAATTCCTAGTAAGAGGTGGCAGAGCGGCAAGGGTGGACTTGTTGCCATCGTTTTCCCTTGCAGGTCCTCCTCTTTTCCATCTGATACTTACTACAGCCCTGTGGGATAAGTTACACCGAGAGTTCGCGACTGGCTCAAAGTCACCCAGCGGGCTTCATGGCCTTCTTGGGCACTAGAACGAGTCCCAGGCCAAAGAGTCTGACCACTATGCCGCACTGGTTCTCTCTGCCTACATGGCCACCGATTCGCTTGTTTCAGGAGATTAAGGGGTTTACGGCCCCCTTTGATACAAAGAGGCACTCCGTCGCAGAGGTGGATGTACTTGCTGGTCTAGGGAGTTTCTGCATATCAGCACCAAGTGAAAGCTCTCTCTTTAAACCTGTGGCCCTCCAGATGTTGGCAGACTACAACTCCCATCCTCACAGACCATGAGCCGTGCTGGAGTGGGAATGGCAGCATCTGGAGGCTGGGAACAGTGTTCCACTGACACTATACTAGAATGGTGGATTCAGACATGGATCTGTCCCAAAAACATACAAATGGGTAGGAGGAATCTTAATCTTACTTAGCCTGTTGTCCTTGTCGAGATACTTGCCTCCTGACTTGGGATCATATACCAGCTGCAGTGTTTGCTACAGGTAGGCAGCAGGAAGGGGGCAGGTAGCTACATCTTCCAAGATGCTCAGGGTGAGGTGACTTAGAGGGTTCTTCCCTAGCACAGCCCCCACCCTGGCTGCCCCCTCCAGGTTGGGCTCCCTTCTCTGCCTGTGCCAATGGAAAACTCTCTCTACTTGTCCTGTTCGCCACCATCACTTTTCACCACCAGAGCGAGCTTGGCAGAGTAAAGTGGAAAAAGTGAGCCTCCCAAACCAAAACCATCACCCCCTCACTCCCCCGCCCCTTCCTGACACTCTCCATCCCACAGAGGTGCCAGTTGTCCAGCTCCCACCTACAGCATTGTCAGGGTGGAAGACATAAGACGCAGGAGAGTTGTCCACAATGATGATGCGCGTCAGGTCGCGGCCCAGGCGACTGAGGTCCTTGACGTAGTTCCCACGGTGGAAGACGCATGACTCGCGGAAGAGGCGGGTGCGGAAGGCGCCCCACTTATCCAGCAGGTCAGCCACGGGATCTGCATACTTGGGGTGCGGGGAGAAAGAGGATGGAGTGAATGGGAAGGAGGCGGCTAGTACAAAGGGCCTCTTGAGACTGTTCTGATCTCCCTTCCTCCCTGCATGCGGAATTCCACTAGTTTCTCTTGTCTGAGCAGGTAAATGTGCCTCTGCCCAGGAATCCTGGGCCATTTCCCTTCCCCAGGCGGGAGGCCTTGCTCTGAGTTTGAGGTGGGCTGGAAGCTCTTCCTCTGTGCAAGTAAGCAGGGGGCCTTCTTTTAGTAAAACAGCAGAGACAGGCCTAGCCTTTTCCCAAGTGCTTTATGATGAGCAATCCACAAACTCAGCAGGATGTCTCTTCCTGATGGCAACATTCGGCTCTGCTCGCTATCAGCAAGTTAACACTTTCTCCTACCACGTACAGTAGGGAAGAGAGGGACACTGGGAGGCGAGATTTCTGGGTCTCACCAGAGCTCACAGTGGAGCAGAAGGCTCATTAGGTGAATGCACTGGTGTGCCCATGCCCCGGGCTCCAGCACTCTCAAGTCCCCCCCGGCTCCAACATGTCCTCCGTGTTGTTCCCTGTGCTCGGTTTCGTAAGGCCAAAGGAAGGCTCTGCGGGATCAGACCAGGGTTCCACCTAGTCCAGCCTTCTGTTACACAGTGGCCGGCCCCCAGTAAGCCCAACAGCTCGCCGGTCTATGTTGCCCCGCAACTGGCAGCCATACTGGCTCTGATGCTAGGGGCAGCATGTAGCCGACAGGACTAGTAGCCATGGATAGCCTTAACCTCAATGAATTTGCCTAATCTCCTTTTAAAGACTTCCAAATGGTGGTAATGAATTCCGTGCTTTAAACAGGCACGGTGTGAAGAAGTCCTTGCTTTTATCAGCCTGAATCTCCCGCCAGTGTGCTTCGTGGGATGCCCCGGCTCTCCCCAAGTGGAGCTCACTGTCCTGGTCAGGGAGGGGATTATTGATGTATTTATTTATTTAAAGTTTTTATATGCTGTCCCAATACTAAAAGTCTCTGGATGGCTTGCAAAAATCAAAAAAGCAAAAAGCAAAGCAACCAAATACAACACACAACACGATCCATCCGTTCAATGATGATAAAAACAAGGATAAAGCCAATTAACTGTTAAAATACTGGGAAAATACCAAAGGTCTTTGCCTGATTCTGAAAAGAAAAGAGCAACGGCACCAGGCAAACCTCCCTGGGGAGCATGGTCCACAGTTGAGGCGCCACTGCTGAAAAGGCACTTCTCCGAGTAGCTACCCTCCTAATTTCCTTCATTCGGAGAAGAGCCTCTGCCTGACAGGATGAAGTGGGAGGAGGAGGAGGGGTGGAGGAGAATCTCACCTTTGCCAGACTAGCAGTGAAGAGCACACACTCAAAGAGCTCACCCATCCGCCTTAGAAACTCATCCACGTGAGGTCGCTTCAGTACATACACCTGGGGGAGTGGATAGAAGAGCACAGGGTGGAATTGTAGGGCACACGGAGCTGCTCACTAGCCCATCTCCAACCTTTTTGGCCACAAAAAACTTGACCCCACAGTACCAAATTGTACAGTTACTCTTTTAAGCAGGTTTGAGAGGCGTAAGAGAAAAGTCCCTCTCCAAAACGGATAAGAAAAGCTGGGTGGCAGAACAACGGGCCTGACAAACATAGGGAGAAAGGAAGGCAGGCTGTATCAGAGCCGACTGTAAGTCCCTCTAGCCCAGAGGTGGGGAACTTGCAGCCCATGACTCTCCCCCTGCTCTGCCAGGGAGCAGCTCTCATCCTTTGCTTGTTATCTGATCCTTCCAGCCTCCACCAGGCACCGAAGCAGGGACCTTCTGTACACAGTGCAGTACAAGAAACTAAAACACAACAAAAAGTCAAATTCTGGTTCTTATCAAAGTGCAAATCATCTATGTATTTTCCAGAATTTATTCCAGTGGCACACTTGGTGGAAATTTGCACAGAATTAGAAGGTTTTGGGCAGGGTGGAAGGGAAGAAAGGAATGTGTTGTTTATGTGGGGGGGCATAAGGGGGAGAAATATATGTGTACATGCAGATCAAAACCAATGAAGGACAGATAGCTTGATATAATAACCAACTGAAGGACCTGTGATCTACCCCCATGCCTTCCGAGCACTTAGGAGAGGCAGCTTCTGCCTTACAGCAATCCCTTTACTTCTGATGTAATGTGTGTTACTCTGTTTTTAAATAAAAATATCAAGGCATTCTCATCTAAAATGGATCTGGAAAGAAGGTAGTGCAGCTGGGTAATTATTGGCCCTAGATTTAATGTTCTTATATGTGTGTCGCTTTAGATGGATGTGTGTATTGCTTCAGTTCTTCTCCTCCCCACAGCCCACTCTGCAGCTACCACCCCCTGCTTTATGGGTGCTTCTACATTACTTACATGCTGCAGCACCTCTGCCCAACTGGCCAACCTGCTTGCCAATCTTGTTTGTTTGACTGATTTATTTTTTTGCAAAGACAACGTGCCGTTTTACATTTTTGGTTCACTTAAATCCTAATTCCATTCTGGCTGCAGGAATCTAACAGCGTTTGCTTCTACTGCCTTGATTCTAAAGAGAGTCACTTGGGAATAAGCACCATTTTGTTGTAGATAATTGAGAAGATATTTTTCAAAGCAAAAATAATACCATGAGTTCCTGTAACTGCACACATGCCCAGTCAACCTGCCCAACTATGAAGAGTTATGAAAACTAGGAAGGAAGGAACGATGCTGCAACATCAGCCCTGGTGGGCCACAGATATGGATGGTGTTGCCTTCTGTTCTCTGGGTGGTCACACGAGAGCCTCATCTTTGGCTCTGGGGTCTAGCACTAGCTGCACCACTGCAGACAGGTAGGTTGTCATTGTCAACCAGGTTGTCATTATCCTGGCTGTAAGCATGATAAAAATCAGAAGCTCGCCACAGCCACAGCAGGAAGAACACAGGTCTGCAAAGGAGGATTCACCATGAATTTTAATAGTAGTTTTCTGTGGTGTCTGGAGAAAGCCAGCAAAAGGGACTGGGGGGACCAAGAACTATTACAGGCCAGAGCAATGTCTGTAAGGGATAGTTTAGGATTAGTGGCAGCAGCCTGGGTTGGGCTGGACTGAGACGCCTTTGCTGGCCTTTGGAGTCCAGCTAGCATCTCATGCAATCGCAAGAGGTACCTTGGAGACATGTCTCTTTCTATAACATCCCAGGTCCACTCAGCACATGGACAAAGTGTCCTCAGAGCATAGGACTGGGGCAAGGGGTTTTTTGGGAGAGGTCACAGCTCTGTGGCAGAGCACCTGCTGCGCATGCAGAAGGCTGCAGGCTTTGTCTCTAGTATCACCAAGCAGGCCTGGAGGAACCCCTGCCCAAAACCCCAGAGAACCACGATCCACCCGTGTTGACAATACTGGGCTAGGCAGACCAAGGGGAGACAAACAGGAGAAGTTGCGGCCCTTCCGTGGCTGGCGGATGCTCGCTTTCCTAGCAGTCCTGGTGGATGCTGCTGGCTGCCTCCAAGGCCAAGTAATCGAGAACAGGCTGACTGTGGTACCCACAGCCTATCCTGGATTACTTGAACCCAGCCACAGCCGACACAAGTGCGACGAGTTCCGGAGAGAGGAAGCAGGGAGGGAGTTCAGGTCTACCTTCCAGCACAGTCAACCCCTGGCTCAGATGGGTGGAGTTGTTCCTCCCATTCCCCAAAGTGCTCCTTTCAGGGGCTACTTTGGCCATTCAAGCTCAGTTGTGAAGTCTGGTTGCCCTTCCAGGACAGCACTGTTAATGCCACACAAGTTGGGCCACAGTCTGTTCCCCGTGACACCCTGCCCTCCCCATGAAAAAAGGCTCATCCATACCTGGTGCATGACCCCATCAATCTCCACTGGGATAATGAAGTCTGCATTGTTCACCGGCTGGAAAAAGGGAAAGGACACTGAGAATCAGGATGCTACATCCTACCACATCAGGTTACTTTGGCACCACTTTTCTGAAATAGGGATGCATACGTCTGGTGAAAGCCTAAAAGATTGCGGTGGGTGGGAACTGGAAAAATGTAGGAATTTATTTTTTCTGATGTTTTCTCCCCAGGATTTGGGGGGGGGGGGAATAAGCTCCCCCCACAAGGTTTCTGTTCATTTCCAGGTTTCTTCCTGGTTTCCCCCAAACATTTCCATTTCTATTCTGGAACAAGGTCAACTTCACAGTTCTGCCCCATTCACAGGTAAACCACCTTCCTCCTGCATTTTGCACTCTCTTAACTGCTTTTGCCTTCTTTGTGATAACTAGAAGCAGTGCACACACCTTTGGCCGTTTGAACTGAGCCTCGATCAGCTCTCATAGAGTTGTGCATTGCGCCTTGCCCTGCTGCTCTAAAAGGACCAATGGCAACTGGGCAACTGCAGCAGCTTAGATGGACTGCAAACTCTGTATAGCCATTTCTGTGCAGAGCAGAAGCAGAGCTTATTTTGCTAGGAAAATGGCAGGACGACTAGTGTAGCGTAGGAGGAAGGGTGAAGGCAAAAAGCAAAGCTAAACAAAAATTCCCCAGTTTTGCAACACATGATTAAGGAAAAGAAAGTTGCACAACCTGCTTAGATCATGGAAATAGATGGCTGAAATAAACAATTACTTAAAATGTTATGCAATTCAGGCAGGCTAAGGGAGCTGCATGGTCTTCCTATGGAATGGCAAATTCTATAGCCAGCTCCAGCCCAGGAGGGACCAAAGAGTGGATTAGTTAGGGGGTGATGTGGTCTATGTCTCTAAACACCATTCCCAAATTTGAAAGGTGCATGAGGGTTAGTCATTAACGGGGTGGAGCTGGGAGTGGAAGGTTCTGGATTTCCACTCTGATTAAGACATTACATTTCTGCATCAACTCCTTAACCTGAGTTTTCTGGGCAACAAACAATTCTACCTGAGAAAGGAAAGGACTAAAATAGGAATTTCTCTCAGATATTACACAATTGCATTCTGCGAGATACTCAGTAGTCACAGAAGCAGGATAGTTGCTGCTTAGTTTCCAACAAACTGCATGCCAAGGTTAGCCCAGCAATAGGGTAGCCTGAAAATGCCCCCAGCCCCAATTGCCTGACAAGACCCGAACGTCTGGCAACACCCACAGCCGACTCCATTGGGCTCTATGTATGCATGTGCGTTTTGATTGCTCTGTGTCACCCGTCAGTTGCCCAAATCCTATCAGGCTCTTAAGATGAGTGGGTGGAAAAATTTTAGATGAGAGGAAGATGGGCCTTCATTTCTCCAGCAACTAAGCTGGCCTCTCCCGTGTGAGCCCCTCTCTCCTGCACTTCCTGATCCATCCACAGTCTCCCTTCTCAGGCCAAAAGTCTTGCTTGCAACAGCAAGAGTTTAGAGGAAGAAGAGGAGCGAGGTGAAGCAGTAGAAAGCAGAACCCAGGGCAGAACAGCCTCTATGGAGCAGCACATGGTTGTAGAGGCAGCGACCTGGCAACCCCTTTGGAGTTCTTAAAGGCCACTTCCCAGCAACCTCAGACAGCATGGCCAAGAATTAGGGATGATGGGGGCTGTATTCTAACAAAATCTGGAGGGATCTAGCTTGCAGAAGGTTGAAATAGTGAAAAGGCAGTAGCAGATACATTCTCTTAGAAATACATTTTGTACCAATGTATTAATATGAGTTGAATCCAGATTGCATCATGCTTAGAGCAGAGCCATTTAAATCAATGGGGTAAGTGAGTCATGACAAACTGCAGTCCCATTGACTGCAATGGGTCTACTCCAAGTATGACTAAATCTGGATCAACCCATTTATCTGTCTGTCCATTCTCTCTCTCTCTCTCTCTCTCTCTCTCTCTCTCTCTCTCTCTCTCTTTCACACACACACACACACACACACACACACACTCACTTCCCTCTACCTGCCTCTGGTGAACTCCGGACATTTCCCAATTCTCATACCAACGGACTGCCTGACATGAGAATCAACAAAGGTCCAGAGCTCACGTGAGCCAGAGAGTGCAAGCTCTGTGTGCATGTAAGCACACGTGTGTACACAGATGAGCTGCGTGTGCATGCTTTTGTTTGGGAAAGGACTGACCTTAAAGGAACTATGTACCAACGTCTCATCCAGGTCGATGACCACACAGATTTTATTGGCATCCTGAGGCTTGATTTCTGGAAGCAAGCACTTGACAGTCGCCTGCAGGGAAACACACACACACACAAGATGAAGCATTGAAAGGGACTGCAGGACAGAGGCAGGTTGTGAGAGGAAAAGCAGGTGCAGAATCAAGCCTGTGATGCAACTAGCATCAGGTTGTGGTGTGTGTTTTTGAAAACATGGGGACACTTCTGCTGTCAACATGCATGGCTTCCTGGCCACTGGCTCTTGCCAGCATGTACAGATGAAGTGGATGTGTGCTCCTTTTTCAGTCTTTGCTGCCTCCAAAGTCCCAAATCAGCATTAAGAGAGGCTGTGCCTAGCATCGAAGCTTTGGTCACGAGCGCTCGAGGGAACAGCAACTAGGAAGCAAGGTTGCACCACCCTGGAGGGACGAGGGGTTGGAGGATCTTTTCCCATTCCACAGGCCCCATCCTATGAACCTGCAGCTGCAAGTTCTGCTTTGGGGGAAGGGGAGCAGCTGGGTGGGGTGGATCACACTCTAACATGGGCTGAGGTGGAAGAGGCAAACAAAAAACAAAGCCAGGCATTTGCAGTTGCATGACTGGGCACTAGATGGCACTAGTGGTGAGGATCAGGCAGCTCGAAAATCCACCCGACTTTCTCTTCTGGTTGGAAAGAAACCGGCAGCTCATCGGCCCAGTGGGATTAAAGACGCTACTGAGCTCCTTGACCTGACCAGCGTCCCAACCTCAGCAGCAGCCTCTGGTATTTGCACTTCACTTGAGTCTTTCATTTTACAAAGGGATGAAAAAGGACGGCTACTTATTAATTGTTGTTTAATGACTGCTCTATTGTTGGTTGTTGTATTATTGTTCTTACTGTTTTGATGGTTTTTGCAACAATTGTCGATTTGTTGATTATGTTGCAAGCTGCCCAGTGAGACTTATGGCTAAGAGGGTGGCATAAAAATTGAATTAAAGAATGAATAAATAAACACATATTTCAGAATCTGTAGGGATCAAGATATAAACCCTGGAGAATGCCAGGACCAGGGAAGGGCCCAAACAAGGATCTGCATGTTGGCTTGATGAGTTGGGGGTCTGCGGGGGGGGGGGGGAGTAAGTAAAAAAAAATGGTTTAGAAACCATTGGCCTCAGATTTAATCACCCTTTCCTGTTTTGTACACCTTAACAGAAATACAGCTTAGGATGCTCACCCTGTCCCACAGTGTACCTTCAAATGCATGAAGGAACACAGGTATTTTATGCTAAGAATTGTCACCTGGACACTGGAGACAGGCTTTTCTTCTCCCTTTGCAGCAAGAGACAAGGCAGTCACAGCTCTTCTGGTCTGTTTCCTCCCCCGTCCTGTCCACTGCCTGCTTCCTTACCTGTGGCACACCTGAGGTTCTTCTGGACACAGCAGGTGAGGGAAGGGGACACATTACAGGGCCAGCAGGTGGGTGGAAGTGGGCTGGCTGGACTGTGCCTGCCTCATCTCCTGCTGCATAGGGGAATTTTAACCACCTCTCCCGGGTGCCTGGGTTGCATGGAGGAAATCCCATCAGTGAGGAATGCGAGCGCCCACGCTACAAACACAAGAGGGCAATTCATGGGCTGCGAAGGGGTAACTAATACATATTCAATGAACTGGAATATGTACTCCAAGTCTCTCCGGCTTCTTGTGAGGCACACAGGGCTTCATGCCACATGACTGAGCCCATTAAGGCTTGTAAGCATTCTCTACTCGGCAGCCTGGTGTGAACAATTTTGGCACTGACAAGATTCGCATCCCATCAAGGGGCTCAGGAATGTGGCCTGGAATAGAAAGTGCCACACAAACAATTGGATGGGGAGAAACCCTTCTGTTAAATTGAGGGTTCCCATCCTTACCAGCGACCCAGCCTCCTCTCAGCTCCTTCAGCTGGGTCCCAGGCAGGCAGGCAGGCAGGCAGGCAGGCAGGCAGGCAGGCAGGCAGGCAGGCAGCCAGCCAGCCAGCCAGCCAGCCAGCCAGCCAGCCAGCCAGCCAGCCAGCAGGGCTTACCTTGGTCACCGAACCGTTTTCCTCCACCAGCAGTGGGGCATTGTTGTTGACTGGGATAGGCTCTGAGTTGTCATGGCACAGGCAGCAAAAGAGGGACTGGAAGATGCTGCGGTTCCTGGGCTTCTTGGAAGGTGATGTGTTTTGAGCACCTGCGGAAGGGTGGGGGGAAAGCACAGAGAACAGAGTCGAGTGGAAATGAAGAGCTCTCCTACAAATTCTGTTTCCACACTAGCACCAGCAGCACGTCAGTTGCAAAGAGGTTTTCTTGGAGCCCCTCCTCCCAGGCAAGTGAAGCAAGGCACTGTTACTCCCATGCATTTCCTTGGCTCTCCTCTGCAAGGGCCACACGTGCTCCTTCCCTTGGCCCTTTCCACGGTCTGGATGTGCCCCTTTCCAAATACAGTAGAGGCAAGGGATGTAACAAGCCACCCTCCTGCCTCAGCCTCTCAACAGGCAGCACCTGACATGAAAGCTGCTTGGCTCAAGGTAGCCTGTTTTTCCTTTGTCTTCACCCAGGCATGATTTTAAAGGTGCGTGCCTGCAGCATATTACACGTACTCATCCAAACAGACTGATGCCTGAAACAAATGGGTCTCCCACACATGCATGAGAAGGGCCATGTGACATCGAACCCTCTTGGCTGTGGCTCCTGCCATGAGGCACACAGTCCAAAGCACCACGTTTCTGCTGAAAAGAATGGCAAGGGGGAAATCATAGCCACAATGCATAAGTTGACACATAATACACTTGTGGTGTTCAATCTCTTTTAGCCTGAGGGCCAAAGTCAACTTAGGAGACACTCCTGGGGGACGTATTCCAGTGGGTGGGGCCAGAGGCAAAGGGGAAGGGCCCAAACACCCGCCTGTTTTAACTTAGCATTGCCAGTAGTTAAGCCTTAAGACACATTCCCACCTTTGAGAAAGTGGGGCACATACATGGTGAGAAGCAATGGCCAACACCAAGGAAAGGAGATGGCCCGGGGACTTGAGTCGTAAGATCCCTACAATATTGCTTTATATAATCCATTTCTACCTAACATTATAGATGTAACTCCAGACTGATTTCAGCATGTATGCACAACCTATTGTTTTTAATCAGGCTATTTCTTTAACATTGTGCATTAAGCACAAAATTACAAATATATAGGAGATTATATGTGTACCATAGTCAGACAGACAGAAGCACTTCATCATCCACTTGATAGATGTTGAAATGAGCCCCCCACGAAAGCATGCCACAGCACTGCCAGCCAAGTACTTAACTCTGGGTGCTCCACAAAGTTATCATGGCTGATAGAAATTGATAGAGCCACTCTCCAAGTGGGAGCAAGGTGGGACCAGGACATCCTAACATGATAGTTCAACTACTCTGGCTAGACAGAGGTGAAGAGAAAGCTATCAAGACAGGAATGGGGTGGGTTGTGCCCTGGATAAAAAGGTCAGTTTGGGGGGAGTGGGGAGAAAGGGGAAATTCCCAGCCCAGTAGGCCTTTGTGTGTGCCTGCAGGTGTAGCTGGGAGGAGGACCAAGATACAGTGTCAAGTGACCCAATGCCATTGCTGGTGGAAGGGAGCCAGAAGGGTAAGTGGGTGTAATGGGGTGTGATGGAGACACAAACAGGACAATGGAGGATCTTGTGGGTGAGCTTGGAGGCAGGAGGGAAACAAAGTTAATATATGCCCTCCTGCCCCCTAAGATCCCTAAGGGCAGAGGCCCTTCTCTGGGAACCCTCCATAAAGGATATTAGGAGGGTGAGTGCTCGAAGGAGGGCTTTCTCTGCGGTGGCGCCCCACCTATGGAATGCGCTCCCCAGAGAGGTCCGCCTGGTGCCGTTCTTATTTGTTTTTCAGCGCCAGGCCAAGACCTTTTTATTTAAATGCTATTTTAACTGTTAATGGTTTATTTGTTGATTTTAAATTGACCAGGCTGTGTCCACTATTTTATTTTATGTATTTTAATTATTTGATGATGATGATTATTTTGTATTTTATGTGGGATTTTATGATTGTAAGCTGCCCCGAGGCTCATGCGGTGGGGCGGCATATAAGTTGTTTAAATAAATGAACAAACAAATGGTTCCCACCGTAGTTAGCAAAATGTGTCTTCCAGTTTCAAAATATTAGTTCATAATTTCTCACGACCTGATCTTTCTCAGAACAATACAAGCCTGGCATTTGTCTATTATAGTTACCCCACTCCCACAACCTGTTTTGAGACAGGTGAAAAATATAGCACAGGCACCACCCCCTCTTTCTTTTGTCACAGGTATGCTCCAAGCACCAGGAGAACTGGAGGCTTAAAAAGAAAAAGAGAAACCATGCACCACCTCCAGGGCTCTGGATTAACTTCACTTTCTCATGTAATCCGTTTGCTGTGAGCAGCTCCTCTGTTCCCTAATCCGGCCCCAGATAATGTGATTCTGGCTGCTCTGGGTCACAGATGCCAAGGAAGGAGGGGCTGTGAATGAGCAACAGGAGAAGCCAGCAAGCGGAAGGCGAAGTGGGACAAGGAGCTGGCAGCTCCATCACCCTCAGCGCTTCTGGTCTAAAGCCACAAACAAGCCCTGTGCAAAGCCCAGCTCCACTGATATCTGCTATGCCTGCCTGCTATTATGCTAGGCTCATTTCCCACTACTCTGCTAGCCCTGGTTTGAGGGGGCAGCTAGATTTTGTTTGCACAGGCAGCAGCTGGAGAGAAACATCACTAGTTCAAGAAGGGATGGGGAGGACGCAAAAATAGGCTGTGGGAACTAACTTTGGGTAAATGGAAACACTTTTATCCAGCCCTTTCCTGGCTATCCCACTCTAAGCTGCACTATTTTACAGTGCAGTCCTTGATATGCCAGCTCATTGAGTTCAATGAGTTATTCCCAAGTAAAAGAAGGACTGCAGCCTTCCTCTCCTAAGAAATGTGAACAGAAAAAATGGATATGCGAGGATAGCAAAAATATGAGGGAGGGGGGAACCACATCTTCCCCCAAATTATTTCCAGGGGCTTTTGAAAAATTTGGGAGGAAATGGTCTGTTTCTGACTGTTTCTGGGGTTTTCCCTGCCCCTCATCTTTCTCTCTCCATTCTCTTCCTGCTGTACCATTCCACCCCTACTTTCAGCAGCCAACCCCATTCTGAAGGCAACTTTGGGGTTTCACCTAACAGCACGAAGCATCAGAACCTCCCTGCTAGAGAAGGTCGAAGGTTCCTCTCACAGCAGCCAAGGAAATAAACTTTGGAAGTTCCCAAACTGGGCTTTCCCCTGACTCCCGATACAGTGCCTTCAACGCTGAGGTTTCACCTAGTTCTCATGGTAAATAGCTGTGGAGAGAACCATTCTCCATGAATTCCTCTAATCTTTAAAGCAAACCATCTAGGTTAATGGCTGTCACCACATCCTGTGGTAATTGTGTCAGAGTTAATTGTGTATGCCAGATTTTGCACTTATCTCTTTGAACTTCACCTCTGACTGACAACACTGATCACAAGACAGTGGCTGCAATGGGACCTTATCCCCATGGACAAGCACAACAGGAGGGTGTCTTAGATCAGTGGGGTGACTGAACCTGGGTATGTAATCACAATGAAACAAAGGAATTTCAGTAGGAATGGGGAAAACAGGAATGCTTGTGTTCTCTAAACTTTTCTTCTTAGCTTGGTTCATCTTGTTCTCATTTTCATTTCTAATCTGTTTCCCTTTCATTTAACTGGGAAAGTGTGCATTAACTAAAGTGTGTAAATAGGAATAGTTTGGAAAATATGCATTTTAACATGCAACTTTTTCCAAATACCAGGGGTTTTTTTTGGAAGGTGAGGTCCAGTTCAAGAATGTGCAAACTCTCCCTGCCCAACTCCAAAACATATGCTCTTGTTCACATTCAGGACTGGCCGCAGAGCAAGGTTCAAAGGATTTGTGAACCCAAACAAAATTCTCATAAATTCCTAGTTATATACAACTGGATCCACTATTCAGCAGAGGTTCTTCTACACATCTTTATAGTGAAGGCCTGCTCTAGTAGCTATTCTACCAGAGCGAGCTCAGTCAAACAAAAGCAGTGTCTCACCAAAGCGGAGGCTAAGACAGGTGGGAGTAGCATACAACTTCAGACTGCAGAAGACTCTCTCTGCAGAAGTCCCTCTTGGCTGCCTGTTTCTCTACTTAACCATGGACTCAACTTGGGCCAGCCACAGACTCTCAGTCCAGCCTACCTCACAAGTTTGATGTTGTGAGGATAGGACTGAGTGGAAGCAGAGAATATGTAAGCTACCTTGAGTTCTCTGGAAGGGAAAAAGGCAGGATAGAAATATAATAAATAAATAAACAAATAAAGGTGTGGATTGAGATCCTATCATAAAGGTAGATACCAAGGTAGAGTTCTAATCTAGTTTTCTGTGCACCGTTGTTTTTCGTACAGATGAGCATCTGGCGATGTCAGCTCCAATCTGCAAAAGTACCCCTCAGTCACAGGTTTATGATCTCCATGTGGGCCAAACTTCGTGCAGAAATGGCCTGTTCTCTGGGTGTACATGATTAAGCATCCCTGTAAATGAGCTCACAAATGGTACTAGCCTGCATATATTTTCAGTAGCTTGCTGTGGGATGGCAGGAGAGGAATGGGGAGCGTCATTCCTGTGCTGAGGATGGAAGCAGCAGCTTGCCTCGGCTAGCAGCCCAGCTGGTTGCAGTGCTGGGAGCAGAAGAGGGACAGAGCACTCCATCCCTCCTCCAGCAGCCCCCTCACTGTCCTCCATGAAATCTCTGGTTAGCTAAGGTGCCCCAGCAAGTGCTTAAGTAAAAGGCGACACAGACAGGCAGGCAGAAGGAAGAGGCACAACCTTGCCCACTTCCACACTCCTCTCCCTGCTCCTGACACCAAGGTTTGTTCAGTTTCACAGTTTCAGTTGCAACCGGGCTGCATTACAAGAACTAATTCTTGCCAGGAGGCAAAAGTACTTTTTACCAAGTGATATAATGTGAAAGGGCGTAGGAGGGTTCTGCTCCCCCTTCCCATCCATGCTGCATTTGAAAATGCCGCCCCCCCCCCCTGCGTGCACACAGTGCAAACTGGCGCTCGGAGCTGCCAGGACCCACGCTGAGCTCGACTGCGCTCATCCCTAGCTGTGGCCTGAAAACTGGCACTAAGATACAGGTGTGGTTCAG